GAGTTGAGGATTTAAATCTCTTATAACTATAGCCTTCACTTCCTCTCTTTCTATCCTCCCAATATAATTACTTTGTAATCTGTAGTTAAATCAATAGTCAGTATTTACTTTTTTACTATGAAAACGTTGCTCCCTGAAGAGCCAGTAGTATATTATGAATGCTCTTCTTTTGCAATAATTTTTTGTGTTTTTCTGGAGCTAGTAATTCTCTGCATAAGACTATGTACCTATTTTTAATTTCTTAAAATCATTAAGGTTTATCAATAGTGTTTTGCAAGTGCTTGTATGAAGCAGACCATTTATCAGTTGCATTTCCCCACCTCCAGAACACTCTCATTGCCCTTTGTCTTGTGTTCTAATTTGGACTGAGTTTTAAGCCTGATATGCAGCTGTCATTCTGGGATGAGGTAGACTGTATGTTAAAACATATTCACTGCCCCTTCTTGGAGAAGATTAGATCTCTGAGTCCCATATATCAGGTTTGGTCCTGTGACCTGCTTTGGCCAATGAAATGTGATAGAAGGTGTGTGTGTGTGTGTGTGTGTGTGTGTGTGTGTGTGTGCATGTGTGCACACGTGTATCACTTCTGAGAAGAAATCTTAGAGCCAGAGTATGGCTTGCTGTGGCCTCTTTTATCCCCTGCCAGGACGGCTGTCAACATTTCAGATAGAGGATGTTCCACTTAGATCTGGAGCAGAGATGACACGAAGTAGAGCTATAACCAACCCACGATGGACATGTAGCAAGAAATAAAACTGTGTAGTTGTAAGCCCCAGCACACCCTAGCCTATTTTGCCTGCGATGTGTGACTTATCATTGCTGCCTTTCTGTGTTGGCTGATCTGCTCCTATTCATTTGTTCAGCTGATCACTCACCTTTCTCTCACTTTCTCTCTCTCTCTCTCATTATCTATCTACCGATCTGTTCTGTTGTTTAATCCCCTGTTTTGATGTGGCATAACCCATGCCAGCTTTCTAGGAAATGGTGTATGGGATGTAAAATTTTTGAATTCTTGCGTAACAAAAATTGTCTGTATTCGATCATTACATTATTTAGCTAGTTTGGCTGGGTATAGAGATCTATGTTGAAAATCACTTTCTCTCAGAAATATGAAAGCATTCTTTCTGTTTTTTAAAAATTTTTTAACATGTATTTTTGAGAGACAGAGGGCTAGTGGGATGGAGCAGAGAGAGAGACGGACGCACAGAATGTGAAGCAGGCTCCAGGCTCCAAGCTGTCAACACAGAGCCCGAAGAAGGGCTGGAACTCAGGAGCTGCGAGATCATGACCTGAGCCAAAGTCGGACGCTTAACTGACTAAGCCACCCAGGTGCCCCTGAAAGCATTGTTTGTTTTCTAATATTTTATATTGCTATTGAGAAGTCTGATGCCATTCTCATCCCCAATCTTTGGATAGAATTTAATGTTCTTCCCTGGAAGCTTTTTTTTTTTTTT